CCAAATATTTTTATTCAACCACCTAGATAGATTGTATCTGAGGGAAAAAGAAAGGATGTGATGTCCAGCACATGGTAACTACAGTAATTATCAAAGTGGGAAGTGATGCCCTCTGGGGGCATTTGGCCAAGGTTTGAGAAAAAAAAATCATTATGAAAATATAATTATATTTTCCTTATTAATGTACTTCGTCCACCTCTGGATTTTTCTATATAAGCCCCAATGCATTTCTGCATTACCTTAATGGTGAGAGTGCTGGCGATAATGGTGTCAATCCTGTCAGTGAAAGGATCGAACTTCTTGTCGCTGCGACGGACCACATCGTGTTTGAGGAGGTAACCCGTCCTGCCGTTAAACTCAAACAGAGCCATGTTCAGCTGCATGGGGAAATCTACAGCATCAAATACACATCACACCATTAAACCCACAGACACAGTGACAGGAGATCAACAACATAAAGAGCCAGTGTGGTCCTTTTTAAAACGCACAGAAGTAATGACATGAGATATATGTGTATATATGATATATGTATATATGAGATATGCATTACATATATTTTACACCTGTGATTATTCAGCTAGGACACTTGAAGAGAACAAACTTCATACATCCACTAATATCAATAAAATACCAGATGATTCATTTTGATTGTTTTTATTTTGGCTATGTTTTATTTAAAAATGGTTTATAATTGTTTATTTTAATTTTAAATTTTTATGATTAATAAATGGCATTTATAATGACATTTTTGCCCATTTTTTAATAAACGAGTAATTTATGGTCAAAAACCTGAAATAAAAAAAAAAGATTCAAAACTACAACAAAAAAAATTAAATTTTAAATAAAGTTTTTTTTTTCTTTTTATGAAGTGTTTTATTTTGTGACCTTTTTTTAAAATAATTTTGTATTTTTAGGATTTAATTAATTATTAGCTTTGGGAAACCCTGTGCTAAATGTAATGACATTCTTGCCCATTTTTAAATTAACAAATAATTTATGGACAAAATCTGCAATGATTTACAAAAAATGCAAAAAAAAAAAATGCAAAAAAAAAAAAGAAATAGAAAATATTTTTTTTTCTTTTTACTAAGTGTTTTATTTTTATTACTTTTTGCACTTTTATCATTTAATTAAATATTACCTCTTCATCAACTCATGAACCCCAGTCTAATGTAATGACATTCTTGCATATTTTTAAATTAACAAATAATTTATTGACAAAAACCTGCAATAACAAACACACACACACACACACACACACACACACACACACACACACACAC